AATATCAGACACACTTTGAGCACCATATGAGGGCCACCACAAGTCAGATGTGGCTTGACGGCCAATAACAACAACTGCAGGCCAACTGTAACAGCACATTTCCTGCTGGATTCCATGACTGTCAAGATCCATTTAAAATGTACGATTCTACAACTGACAATGTAAATTGAAACTTTATCATAATTCTGATCATGATTAGATTCTATTTTGTGTTTTCTGTTTCAATTTACCTGTGAAGTAGATCAGTTTGGGAGACACGGATTATCCCGTAGTCACCTGTGACATTTGTGGTTCAGTGAGGACTGGAACCCAGATCTCCCAATCCAGCTCTTTAAATCCTATTTTGTACTGGCACTCACTGGTCTGAATATCAAGGACTGGTGCCAGGAAATGCGTTTTCCCTTGTTTTACAATGTTATCCCTCCAAGCATGCAAACCTTCCAGCGCCACCATGCCCGAGCCATCCAGTGACCAAACAGAAGCCACAGGATCTCTCAAACAACTGATTACAAGAACAAAAGCAGGCTAATTAGCCAAATGAAGACTGAGCCAACCATAAACAGTCTTGGCCTCTGATTTGAGCTCTCTAATAACACGTGGACTGTATCTTTTAGTTGTCTAAAAGCAGGCAACTAATCTCTCAGCCTTAGTTCTCTTCCCCCCCACCCCGCCCCCAGATTTGTAATGTATGGACAGGAATGACAGAAAAATACTCCAAGACTGTTAAAAGGATTACATCCGTGAAGCCTTTGAATATTTTAACCCATGCTACTCAATTTGGGTATTTAAAGTAAGAAGGTGCATTCATATCTGAAAGGCACATGGGAAGACTTTACTCTTCGAAAGTTTACAGAAGAAGGGGAACGGAGGAAATTTGCAGGCTGAGAATAGGTTTAAGAGATTAGTACTGTAATTGCCTTTGTCCCAGAGGTTAGTTTACTGTCAATTTATTTCCACTGTTTCTCAAATAAACGCTCTCTCTGCTGCGGACTGGATCATTGTCAGTGAAACCTATGCTTAAACAGTACGAAGGCATACTGTAAAAAGTGCATTCTGCACAGTGTAATCCTGTGTAATTTACCCTTGAGTAATGAGGCAATTGTCCAGTGTAGTATAATGGATACAGTGAGGGACTAAAACTCGGGAGGCCTGAATTCGAATCCCAGCTCAGCCATGGACACTCATGGGGGGGGGCGTGGGACTGGTAAAACCACTCCTTAAACATCTCAATTTCTGTGACAGCTCTGTTAGGGTCACTATAAATTGGTTTTAACTTGAGGACACGGACAACAACAAAACGAAGCATTTACCTCAGGGGACTGAAGTTGGAGAGCAGGAATGGGAACGCACCCACAACTCTCCTACCCAAATCCTCAGCTGTTCCTCAATCTTGTCTCCCTTCTTTTTCACGTATGAAGCTGATTTCCTCAGGTGTCGTGGACAATCCTCTCCTGTAAGAGTCCACCACCAGTCCAGCCAGTGAAAACAGGAGCGGTGGCCATCTTGTCCCTTGCCTCAGGTGGCAAAATACCTTGGACAGGTTCTGAATCTTTAACCTACAATCTGGGAGTTAGAGCCACTGACTTGCGTAGGGCTTGCTCCTGAGTAGTCATGTACAAGATGGTGCACGGTGACACCCCGTTTAAGGGATTACACTGCCGTT